TTGATGGGTGTCCTGGTCCTGCTCTGGTGCCTCACCCTCCTGGGTTTGATGATTGTCTGGGTCCTGTGTCTCAGTGTCCTGGACCTGATTGTTCGCATCCTGCTCGGGGACCTGCTGGTTGTGGGAGACGCTCCCCGCTGTGCACAGCCCTGACGGCTGCTCCCCACCTGCCTTCTCTTGCGCTGTCAGCTCCTGACCATCTCCCGGTGCCTGGTGCTGCTGGAGTGGCTTGTAACAAGCCTTGGCCACGTGGAAAACCAGGCTGAGCAACTCGCTGAAGTCAACCCTGCAATTGCTGTCATCATCCAGGAAGCACAGCACCTTCTTGAGAGTTTTGGGGTCCTGGGGGTTCTGTAAAGAGACAAATGGTGTTGGCAAAGCCTGGGAGCCATTTGTGCCATCTCTCTAGGAGCACTTGAGCAGCCTCAGGGCAGAAATCCAGCCCCGTGCCTTGAGTTGCTCCCCAAACCGAGCTCTACAAGCTGCTGGCAACTGGGAGAATGAAGAGCTTCTCCTCTTCCCTGCAGTTCCTGGGCTTTGGAGGCATCTGTGATTTTTCCCAAGGAGCCAGATGTCCTGTGCATCCGCATGGGAGTGCGTGGCTTTACCCACCCCACCGCCCTCCCGATCCCAGCCCTGCAGCCAGAAGGCAGACCCGCGGCGAGCACCAGCTGTGGGGCCGCATCCTCACCTCCATCGCATCCGCAAACTCCTGCTCCATGAGCTGCCTCAGCTCCTCCCTGCTCAGGGGGCTGCCGTTGCTGTCGCTTCTGGTGCACATATAGAAAGCAGCAACGATGCCGTTGGTATTTTCCTGGAGCTGGGCCATCTCCGTGAAAAACTGAGGTAGCCTGCGAGAATAACACAGACAAAAAGAGGCTTTTTTTTCTGTCTGTTTGCTTGGTTTTCAGATAAGTTGCTCTTAAACAACACAGCTGGACAGGCAGAGAGAGAAAGAAGAGCCAGAGAGGGGCACAGATAAAATGAAACAGTAGAAGGGCATGAAAGAGAGAGCAAGAAGGAGCTCACTGGAAAACAAATCTGAAAAATGAAACTCAGCTGCAGAGGTGACTGAGTGTGAGGACCAGGAGGTGATGGCCGGAGAGGTGAGGGACAGCGAGAGCTGAAAGGCTGGCGACACGCAGTGAGAGAGGAGAGAAGAAAAAAGAAAAAATCCCATTTATAGCATCGTAGGCTCATTATGGTTGGGAGAGACCTCAAAGATCATCAAGTCCAACCGTAATTTGTCTCTCTGGAGCAGAGCAGAGCTGTGAATGGAGGTCGTCTCTAACGAACCATGGAATAGTGTCATTCCAGACCTCTTTTATTATTTTTCTGTCCTTTGGGAGAGCTCAGAGGTGGCAGCTCCAGGGACATCCTCATGGCCAGAAGCTCCTGCTTTCCTCCCAGTAGCAGAGTCAGACAGTGTGAGAAGTTGGTCCAGGTTTACCTGGGCAAGGAACAGGAGCGCTGAGCTTCAGGAGCGCGATCTGGAGCAGATCAGCTCTAGGCCGTCTTATATACAGTTCAGGACCAGAGCCTGCATCTTCCAGAGGAGACACCCCTTCAGCAGGGTGACCTCCAACATCTCTCACCCAATTACATTGTCATGCCCCTGTCTTCATTTGTCTCTTTCTCATTAACTTCTGCTCTGATGCTTTTCTCTGGAATTAATGCATGATCCTTCCTAAGCTTGCCCCACCTGCAGACGCATTTCACAGGAATTGAACAGAAAAGGCTATTTTTACCACTGGAGGATTTAGTTTAAGGTGATGCCCCAGCAACGCCCGGGAGTCTTGTGTTTGGCAAACGTGTTTTGCGAGAAGGAGATCCTCGGTGACTGACACGCAGGGGAGGAGACCGCCCGGGAGTGCTTGCACAATGAATAAAGAGAAGCAAAAACAAAGGAAGAAAAATAAGGATATTGTGATGCCAAGATTAATGTGATTACTTCCAGAAACTCCCTCCTCTGGATCCCGACGGGGAGGTAGGCATCGAGCGCAGAAATCTTTTCAAACAGTGCCATCAAGTGGCACTTGGCGCAGGACAGAGGGGTGACACGGCGTGTCCCAGAGCCAGCGAGCAGCTGGGGACTGTGGGCATGGTGGCCTGCAGTCACCCATTTACCAGAAGGGGAAACTGAGGCACATGGCAAGGAAGGGACTTAAAGTCCTCGTGCTGTGTCCGGCACCGGTCCCTGCTCCAACGCTGTGTCCTGTGGGTGAGGCCACCGTACTGGTCCCCAGTGGGTTAACTGGGAGCCCCACAGACCTAACTGCAGTTATTGCTGTTTGCTCAGGAAAGTAAATTTTGTATCCCCCTATGCTGCCTTATTGCCCCCCAGCTGCTCCAAACGCAGTGTGACTTGAAAGTTGTTTCCTAGGCACTTTGAGTCAGACTTTTGGGTGTCCTCACTTTAGCTTTCTATTTTTTAAGGTCCTTTTCTTGGCCAATGCATGGTTAATAAGAAAGACTGGGAAAAAAATGGTATCAGAAATCCATGTAGCTTTTAAAGTATAAGGTGTTTTGGGCACAGAAGATAAAACGCATCTGGTTTTGTACTAAAAAAAAGCACTTTCAGGAAAATGCCGTGGCTTGCTCCATGCCTGGCAGGGGGGAAGGTTAATGGGTCCCACTTTGTTTGTGTGAAATCCTCAGGTGTGCGTGGAAGGGCTTGGAGAGGATGACTATGGGGGGCTTTGCAGGCTGTCCTGTCCTTTGGTTGTGTGCTGAGTGCTCTCGAGCTCAGGGCTCCTTTTCCTTTGGCTGGTTCTGTCTGAAACCATGACCTTTCTTTAAGCCGAGACATTTCTAATATATCACAGTTTTAATCCCAGGTGCCATCCAGCAGCTTTTCTATCAGCCCAAGCAGGCAGTGCCCAGGGAGCAGCTGTGATTTCCTGGGCAGGACCCTTTTTTATTTCTATCTACCAACTTTCCTATCACACTTGCATGGAAATGCACCGCTTTCCTCTAAGATGTTTGCTGCAAACCTTCTCATTAAGCTGCAGTGAGGGTGGGGGGCAATTAACTGGGGGCACCTTGAAGAGGCAGAAGAATGTTTAGGGTGTTCTTGCTGAAATTATTTCTAGTCAAGCCACCCAACCCGTGAGCAGGGTGGTTTCTCCTCTTGTAGACAATAACAGGTTTATGTCGTACAGGATTTCACGCGTGCTTTATGAAGCAGGAAAGGTTAGAGGGTCAAGTGATACGTGAAGAAGTTCAAAGTGCTGCAGAACAGAAAAGAGAAAAACATTACTTTTAGCAGAGCTTGCAGTAAATTATGTTGAACCCAGGGAGTGCAGGTGCTTCTGAGACTTGTGCTAATGAAATCCCACGAAACTTTAGGGGTGCTGCCTTGAGAGCTGTGAGCTGGGGCGGGGGGAGGCTTTGCACAAGCTCGTGCCTGGTTTGCAATGATGCTGGAGGGGGGTTTGAACAGGAGTGGGATGGGGTTGGGAGGGTTTGCTCTCTGACAAGGTCTGGAAAGAAGCTGATCTCCCTAGGAGCTCCCCTCCAAGAGAAGAGCAGCATTTGTCCTGCTCTTTACCCCCGAAACTGCTCTTCCAGCAGAGCCAAATTGCTTAATACAATTAGTTTGTGATGCCTTTGGCTGAAATAAAGCTTGAAATCCAATTTCTCTGTTTTCACCCAAGATCAAAAGGAACCAGCAGTCTCCAAGGCTGTGCCCCATGTGGTTAGAGATTCCCGGGCACTCCGAGACCTTCAAGCCGTGCTGGAAAGGCATTGTTAGCACCACAGCCTAAATTTTGGGGCAGGAGGGGTAGCATCTCGCTTTAGCATGAGGGATAGCTCCTTCCCCTACGATGCCACCTGCACTTCAGTGAAGAATAAATACTTTGGGAGTTTGTGTTCAAAGCAGCCAAAATGGACGTTAACCAGGGCTGGCTCTCCGAGGTGGATTTACCATGGAGGTAAGGTGCGTGGTGTGGCGGAGGAGGGAACGGGTCTGCAGCGCTTTGTGTACCTGGCAAACTCACTCCGCTGATATTCACAAATCTTTGAGGTCTGTTTGCTGAAGGGCCTCTGTTTTCTGAGCTCACTGGTAGGAAATCCGTTGGGGCATTGGGCAAAGCAGCTGCTCTGGATAGGCAGAGGGTGTATTTGAGCTTAGGCTGCTGGTGAAATGCTCTCTGGTTGCTTCATTTAAGAAGTTTGATCGCCTAATTTTATCCACATCTGTCCAGTTCACCTTTCTTTCATGTTTCTTGGGCAAAAAGCTATTCTAAGCAGACTGGTCTGTGTGTTCACACGAAGGGGCAGCTGATTCCCTGGGCTGTACCGACGGGATGGGTTTGGAGGAGTGATGTGCACCAGGGCTGGGTGAAGCTGGAGGTGATGCTCGGCTCGTGGCAGCACTGGCACTTTGGCGTGGTCATTTGGAGAAAGATTTGTGTCAGAAGTGCGAAAAAAAGAGAAACCTAAGTGCGTATGGTTACACAAGACCTTGAAAATAATTTAGTAGCTGTTGTTACCACTGTGGTGATTGCTCAAGATCTACAACTTGGATCATACTTAAATTTCTCCTACTGTATTGTAATGTGTAAAGCTTCAGGTTAACCGACCTCACCTGAAATTCTTTTCTTTGAAACTAAAACTGGAAAATTGGTGCCTCCTCAGACAGCCCAGGGTTATCTTCCTCTCTTCTGCCTGAAGACTTTGTGGATCGGGGAAATTGCTCAGCCCATCGGTTAATGGGGAGGGGAGGAAGAAGCAGATGAAGGGGGCACAGGAGAAGCATTGCCGGCAGCTGAGGATGTGTGATGAGCGTGCGTCAGCAGTCGCGGCAGGGACCGGTGTCGAGTGTTAGGACTTGGGGGTGTTTAAGGTCTGGGGCTCAATGGGGTGGGAGTTAGGTCAGAGCTGTCAGGTTTCCCAACAAAAAAATAAAGCAGGAAATTTCTGTTTATTCTTGCGTGACTCCGATTGTTCCTGCTCAGCAGGGGAAGGCAGAAGTGTAGGCTAGCACTGACGGAGGAGGGAAAGTGCTGCGCTGAAGGCTCGGCGTGACAAAGCGTTTAAATACGGGTTTTGGAGAGCTGGAAGTCTTCGGGGCTCGAACGGATGGGGCTCGCTTTGGGAGGTTAGAAGGAACGGCAAATGCCTGGTTAGTGCCTGCACTCGGTGCAGCCGTGGGAGCCAGAGGTTTTATTGTGGTGGTTGCCTCCCTAACCTGTCTCCTTTGCCTTTTCTTCCTCTTCTTTCCTTCTTGCTTTTGCCTGCTGAGAGCTGAGGTTCAGGCTTACCTCCCTTTTCTTGCCTCATTCCATACACGAAGCACGATTCCTAAACTTTCCCAGGGCTGGAGCCCCATTATACAGAGAGTTTTATCGCTACATCTGTGTCATTATCAAGAATTAAGCTAATTGGAATAAAATGCTTTATTCTCCTATGCTGCTTAGGCATTTCAGCAAGTTGTATTTCTGTTGCAACCTTCTTTATTGCTAATTCATTGTGACATTAAGAAGTGTAATACATCAGCTTCTCTCTAATACATGTTTCCACTTTTTTACATGTTAATGAGCATATTTAACATATTTCTTCAGAGATAATTGGATTCTAAGTCTCCCTGTAGTAATGCACTGAAAGCCAGCTAGCAATGCCTTCAGTATCTAAAAGGCTCTTTCTGCATTTGAATAATCCCACGATTAAAATCAGGAATTAATCTCTTGGCTGAAACAAGGCTTTTGAGGATACTTTTCTTGTTTTGAGACAGTTTTAATACATACATTACGGAGAAGTTAATTAAACCCTTCCTTTGCATTTGTACCCCAGAATTCACAAAGGAGCGCGGGTATCTCAGATATT